AATCGGTCACTAATTAAAATAGTGACCGAAATAGTAACCAACCCAAATCGATCACTATATCAGTCACTAACAAAAACATTAAAAATTTAAATCACTATTAGATTGAAAGAATTGTCACTAACAAGTGATTCAAACCTAATACCTTAGAATTAGAGACTGATACTCCAACCACTAAGCAATTAGGATTTTTTGATAATAATTTATAAATAAATTATATTTATATACAAATAAAAATATATATCCGTGTAAATATATAAATATAAAATATATAAATACAAATACAAATATATTTATATATTTATATGTTGGATGTGAGGGCGCGCTCAAGGGTGAAAGTGGGTGTCGAGTGGATTTTCAAAATTTGATGTCAAATTTTGTGAGCTGGTCTTTTTATATGGGTTTATAATTTAATGACAGTAATATAATCTTTATAATTTATTTATATAATGATAAAAAATAATTTTTTTCTTTATTTATTTTTATTTTATTTTAATTTATTCTTTTTATCTTTTTATCTTCTATTATTTAATTAAAATTCTTATATTAAAATAATTTTTTCAATATTAAAAATAATTAAATATTTATTTTTAAAAATATTTAATTTAACAAATTATTATAAATTAATCTAATTATGATTATTAATAGAACAACTTTTTCCTAACATATATTATTATAAATTAATCAAAATCATCTTTTAATAATTATTTTTTCCAGACATAGATTAATTTATAATAATTTGTTAAATTAAATAATTTTAAAAAATAATTTTGAAAATAAATATTTAATTATTTTTAATAATGAAAAAATTATTTTAATATAAGAATTTTAATTAAATAATAGAAGAAAAAAAGATAAAAAGAATAAATTAAAATAAAATAAAAATAAATAAAGAAAAAAATTATTTTATATCATTATATAAATAAATTATAAAAATTACATTCTATCATTAAATTACAAATCCATATAAAGAGACTCGCTCACAAATTTGACATCAAATTTTGAAAACTCACTCGACACACTTTCACCCTCTAGCGTGGCCCCGACATCGAACATATAAATATATAAATATATCAAAATATATAAATATATTTTATAATTATATATTTACACTGGATATACATTTATTTGTAAATTTTTATTAGAAAATTCTAACAGTTTAGTGGTTAAAGTATTAGTATCTAACTCTAAGGTACTGGTTTTGAATTTTATTAGTGATAATTTTCTTAATCTGATAAAAAAACTTTGTTAATAAGAGAAATTATATATTTTTGTGGTAAGACCATGAGATTTTTAGGTTAAACTAAAATTAGGGTAACTAAGTTGTTGTTATGGACTAAAACCCAAAAAGTAAAAAAAATAATAATTAAATAGAAGAAAAAATATATACTTTTGCATTTTTATTTTCATATATTAGTTTTTTTATGAAATTATTTTTAATTAAAATAATTAAAGTGATATATATATATATATATAAATTTTTTTATTTTTTTATTTTTAATTTATTAATATTATCAAATTTTAGCTTCATGATTAAAAAAATACCAATAATTTTAATTTTATTAATTCTATAATTTTATATAATTATTATTATAAATTTAATTCTCCAATAACTAATAATATTAACACATTTATTAAATTAAAATTCTTTATTTTAATTAATTATTTTGATTTTTTTAACAATTTTTTTAAATAAAAACGATAAAACTTAAAATTAATTTCTAACTAAATCTTCACATGTTAATAGTATATTATATTATTATTTTTAATTAAATTTTAAAATAAGTTCACTTAATCTTTACACTTTTATAAAAATACTAATATAAACTTAAAATATTTATCCAATTATTAAATTATTTAAGATATTAATATAAATTTGAAATATCAATTCAATAATTAAAATAATTTTAATTTTTTTATAAATACATTGAAATACATTTTTATTAACATAAAAGTAATATATATATATATATATATATATATATATATATATACAAAAAGAGACTAAATTAATAATTAATTTAATTATTGATTATATATATATAAAGAGACTAAATTAATAATTACTTTAATAATCGATTTAGTGATCGAATCAAGTGACCGATTTGGTGACTAATTTAATAATTAATTTTAATTTTTTCTATTCACATACTAAATTAAAAAATAAAATCAAATAATTATATTACTAAATTATTTAATAAGTTAATAAACTATGTTTTAAAAATTTTATAATGTTATTAAAATTTTTATAATGATTTTAAATTATTAAGTAGATTTATATTTAATATATTATTAAAATATTTTTAAAAATATTTATATAAATAAAAAATGGTCACTAATTTATAGATTATTTGTTTAGTGACTGAAATTTTAGTCATTAAATCAATCATTAAATATAAAAAGAGAAATCAGTCACTGATTCAGTTACTATTAGTAACTGAATTTTTCGGTCACTAATTTCGATCACTATTAACTATTTTTCTAGTAGTGACCGAATGAGTGACTGATTTGGTGACCGAATCAGTGACTGATTTCCGTGACTGAAATTTTAGTCACTAAATCAGTCACTAAATATAAAATGGGAAATCGATCCATCGATTCATTTACTATCAGTGATTGAATTTTTCGGTAACTATGAACCATTTTTCTAGTAGTGGGATATCCTGATGACCATGAGGAGTAAAAGTTTCCTAGGTACATTCCTCAATCAAAGAATCTTGCAACATAATTAAATTGTAAGATATTTTATATTTTTTACATAATAAAGTTAATTATAATTGTAGAAAAAACATTGAAAACAAATAAATATATGATTACCTGTCATTTCTCATCCTGTCTCATATGAACAAACTGTGTTTAAGTTTCTTTATCAATCGTCATATATTTGGTACAAGAATACTCCTTGCACTAAATACATAGTTTGTTGTCAATTTAGACTTAAAATACATGTTTGTGAAGCCAAAACAAAGGTGGTTAAGACTATATCATTAGACAAATTATAAAGGAAACAATTAATATATATATATATATATATATATATATATATATATATATTGAACATTTTACCAATATATCTTACGAAATAATATTTCTCTCAATCTCAGTAACATGACCTTAAGATAGGACTAAGATAGAATCTTTTCACGAGCTACTATATTGAGGTAGCAACTAAAAGACTCAACATTTGGCCCAGAGTCCACACTTGTGTGAATGCTAATAGTGAGAGGTGTCCTCTAATTGGTACACTATAACTTGACAAATTTTCATATGTAGGAAAATTATTGATAGTGTAAAATAACATGGCATGCATCTTGAAAGACTCACAAGTAAACCCATCAAACACTTCAACCCCTTCATCCCATAACAGTTTCAAATATTCAATCAACAAACTAAGATATACATCTATGTCATTTCCTAGTTGTATTAGGCTTGAGATCATCATAGACAACATTATATATTTATGTTTCATATACAAGTTTGTTGGTAAGTACTGAGTTTACTAAACAGATCCATTCCATCAGTTGCCAATTCAAGTCTAAGATTTCTTGACTCATCTACAAATTTGGGAAAATCATTATCAAAGTCCTTCCATTGCATAAAGTCAACTGGATGACGAATCAACCTATCACATCCTCCCATCTACATGTCATCTAAGGTTTTTAGCGTCATTAGGATTCACTAACAAATGCTTAAACCTTAGAATTATTGGAAGATACCAATCAAACTTCATAGGGGGTTTCTAAATAGTCATGTCATCACTACTGTCTTGGTTATTATCCTTCACTTTGTAACAAAATAACCCATAAATTGAAAACTTTTTTAGTTCTTCAAATTCATTTTTTTATAAAATACAATCATCTAAACATTCACGTATCTTTTTAATACTTCATACCCATTGAAAAAAAGTATATTTTTTGCCTCATAATTATGATTGAGTAGTGTATTTCCATCTAGAAGCATATCCTTTAACAACTGAAGCGATTCGGTGAAACTTTTATCAGTCCACCCATTCATTGCCTTCATAACAATCTTAACATTGCTGACAACCATGTGAAGTTAGTTGAACTAGGATAAAATGGAGTCTCTATGTTGTTACACATATCTTCACACACATGCGCTTAAGCAAAAGATTCTACCCCAACATCCCGAATCATGTCCTCCAGTCACTCATCCATGGCTAAATTAACTAAATCATCATATTCATTTACGATTGACAAATATAATAATTTACCAAATGCCATGTCCAAGTTGTATAACTTTTAAGAAAATTGTCACATAAAAGATGCTCCCTAATTTCTTCAACTTTTAATAATTTCTCATTAAGATAATGAACACCTGGACACCTAAATCTTCCACTAGTAGAACTAGTAGAAGTGTTTTGTTATGCATATAGTAAAACTTCTTTAACTCCTTTCTCATACTAATAAGTTATGCGGGTACAACTAAATCTAACTTTTGTTAATTTCTAGATTCTTTAATGCATATACAATTATATAATTTAGTCAACAATGTAGTTTGTCGAGGTTTGGACACCCCTGGGCTCAACACAAATTTGTTCAAAAAAGTCAAATATTAATGTCAATCATCACAATGCAAACAATAAATTCATACAATCTTAATCATATTAAGGAAGTCATAGTAATTACTTACTAGAGAGGAAGAATAAGTTCTCACGAGAGGAAGAAGAGAGGGGAAGTGAGCTCCACAGACACAACACCAACCACAGGAGGGAAGAATGAACTCCACAAAACCAACTTCACATCACCATGAATCCACCACAGGCCCACCATAAACCATAATGTAGACCCTCACACACACAAACCACCATCACCACCAACAAAGAGGGCATGACACTGCCATCGCAGGAAAGAGATTGTCACCATAGGAGAAAGACCTAGTCTCAGGAGAGAAGGAGGGCGCGAAGAGGGAGAAAACTGATGTGAGACAAACAGAATAGTGGTTTGAGGAACAATAGTGGCTAAAGAAGGTGCGACACGGCCAAAATGAAGGAGGAAGGAGGTTGTTTGCAGTAAAAAGGAAGAAGGTGAACGCGAAGATAGTACAGAGCATACAACAACAATTATTTCTAATAATCGTCACCGTATAACATATATAATGACAGTTATTTTAAAATCATCATCAAATAGCTACTGACTCGAACATTCGACGATGAGTGTTTTATAATCGTCGTCAAAAGCCGTCACTAATACTCTATTTTGAATTAGTAAATATAATATTAACATATTTTGTTGATATATAATTTTAATTCAAATAATTATAGAGTTATTTCATATTATTGCTACCTTTTCGTTCATCCAAAATCTAGCAATAAATTGATGGAGCAAACAAATTAAAAATAATTTAATTAAATTATAAAAAATAAAAAATTTATAGTGGGAAATTTTATTTTCCCTCATTTTATTAAATAAAATTTACTTCCACACTCTTTTACTCACAAAATTCTATTTAGTATATGCATATTTTTTTGACGTCACACCCAATAAAAACATCCTATAAAATAAAGATGAGAGAAGTATAAACTTCCTTACTCACAACTTCCTCCTCCTTATGAAACAATGTTCACTTGTAAAGGATTTCAACCCAAACAAAAGAATACAAACAATATAAATAAAAGAGTGAAAAGTATATTTCAAACATGTTAAAGCCATGTATACATTAATAGGAAAATTACATTTAGCATCAATTATTTAATATATAATACATCGGTATGTAGAAAGTGATTAGTTTTTCATATTGGTTCCATAATACCTAATGTAAAAGAACATACTTAGGGGCCAACAAATGCACTTCAACTTGTGGATTTTTACTATGATGGTGCCTCGAGGATGTGTGGCTACTGAGCTGGTGGTCTTGTTGTTAGTGTCAAACTGTTGTCATTGGCAATGGCAAAACAGGTGATGGAGAATTGTGTTTGAGGTGGTGCAGCAGATAAAGACTGAAGTTTTTTCTACAGTTTGCGGTGGTGATAAGTTTTGGTGATGGCTCACAGTACTAATTGGTGGTTGTAGGTTGTAGAAGGTAGTGTATGTCATGGTGACAATGATAGTGACAAGTTTCGCAAACAAGAAACAATGATGCACATGCACACAACAAATAAAGGACCTATAACAAAGAGCAACAATCTGGCACACAATGACGACATTAACAGTGGCAAACAGTGGCAAACAGTGATATCAAATGATGGTGGGACAACAAGGACAACAAGGTTTTATGTTCACGACATGGTGAAGTGATAGGTTTTGTTCACAAGTTTTAACGTTCGTGACATAGTGGAGTGAGTGGAAAGTTATATTAAAATTTGTAGAGGGATAGTACATTGGATGTTGTAGCAACCAATATAATATCTCATATGTTACATCAATTGTTGTATATCCCCCTCAATATTTATAAAATTGGTAACGCTACTTATATTACATCAATTTAAAACAACCATTGTCATATGTTTTTGTAAAATGCACTTTGTACACTAGTGATAAAAAAGATAGAATAAAAATAAACATGCACAAACATCATAGTACCAACATATTCTCAATCACAAATACATTCGATTGACCCAAATGCACTATTGTTGGTATATTCTTATCATTGGGAATCCAAATACGAATTGAAATCACACATCAAGTAGATATAAGAAAGTTAAGTAACTTATAAGTGAGAAAACTTATAACCTAATGTCTTAAGATTTTGGTTGAAGGTGATGTCATATTCTCATATATGGTTGACTCAAGTCTTATTAATGAAAATCTCTTAGATGTTATTCTTCCTCGAAAATATCAACAGTGGTATCAGAGTTGATGATTCATGTGATGAACAACTCAGTTGAGTACAATATGGAGTTTGTAATAGATAGTTGATTGTAAATCCTTATGTCGAAAGTCTCAAGCAAACAAGTCTAATTGAGTTGAATAGAAATACAAGTCACTACTAGGTAATTATAGTTAAGAAATGCTTCTATTTGAGGGGTAGGTGATCCAATGTGGAAGGAAATCACACTTGAGGGAGAGATTGAAATCCAACACTGAGTAAAAATGAGAAAGTTTATAAATTGAGAGTCCAAGTGTGAATTGAAATCCAACAATGAGTAGAAATGAGAAAATTGAGTAACTTATAAGTGAGAAAGACCTATAATCTAATGCCTTAAGGTTTTGGGTTGAAAGTGATGTTATATTCTCTCATATGATTGACTCGTGTTCCATTGTTGACGATCTCCCAGATGTTAACTATCTTCAAAAATATGCAACACTTATCTCTAAATGCATGTGATATCATTATGCAAAACATGCACACATAAAATGGACTAATAGTATATGAAATGGATCGTGAAACCCCATATCCACTTTAACTAGAACAATTTCAATAAGAGTGAGATGAGATAGTGTAGTTGGTCATGGTTGACCAGTTTCCTTCTATGTATGGATGGAAGGTTCATTCCTCCAAAATCCCTCAGACCAAGGTAAAAAGCTATAAAGACCCTCCTTCAAAGATTACATCCATCCTAAAGAAAGTATTATTAATGAAAGAAGCATATGTAGAAATGCATTACTCATTATACATTTCAAATAACATGCATAACTTGGGTTTGTACACTACTAAGTAATTGCTTAGTTTCCAAAATGATCAAATATAACTTGAATTTTAACCCTTCTTAATCATTGCTTAGACTTTTCAAAACACATAAGTGACACAAAAATATATCAAAAGAAATTACAAGAACTCACATTATTATAACTAACACATTAAAATAAAGCACAAACTCTCCTAATACAACATCACATAAGTAATTCATCATCGCACATATTAATATACATTTTTGTTAGAGTTCAAGAGTGAGTTGAAATCTCACATTAGATAGAAGTGAAAAAGTTAAATAACATATAAGTGAGAAAGACCCACAAAATTAATACCTTAAGATTTTAGATTAAAGGTAATGTCATACTCTATTATATGACTTGTGGTCTCATTTATGAATATTTTCACGATGTTGATCCCCTCTCCTTTACGTAACAACTTTTTCATACATATACACTCAGAAGGTTTAGACATACTTTAAAGCTAATATAATTATCTACAACTTGTATGTTATCCTCAAGATCCAAAAATTCATTCATCCTAAAGTAAGAAAAACAAACATAAACTTTTATTCTAATCATATAAGAAACTCTTATTGTCCTCAACATATTAATCATATAATAACATAAATTTCATGAAAGATTTAGATGGTTTAGTTAGGTAAAATTTGAAATTTTTTGGTTAAGTGTTAAGTGATAAAAAGTTGATATAATTATGCTTTGAATTATTATGAAACCACTTAACTTATGTTAATTCTAATATGTTATTCTCCCAATGTAGGATGGATTAGAGAATACCTTGATACAAGAGTAAGGAGCATAATTGTCAGCATAATTGGAGTAAAATTGGAAGAAGGAAAAAGATTTTCAACATGGAAGTCGCTCGAGCGAGATGGACTCTCGCTTGAGCGAATATCAGTTATTTTTCTCTGGAATTCAGTTGCTCAAGCGCAAGTAAATTTGCTTGACCGAAAGTTAGTTATTCTTCTCTGGAGTTCACTCGCTCAATCGAGCGATTTGTCACTTGAGCGAAAATAGGAAACTTTCGCTTGAGCAAAAGACGCGAGACCAAATTTTTCCTATAAAAAGATAATATATGTTTTGAGAAAAGGAAGCGGTTTTGGGGAGAAGAGGCGCGACTACTGCTAGGATTTCGTCCAATCTTCATCAATTCTTCACTTCTTCCACATTTGGAGCATTGTAATGGCCAACATGAGTGACTAACTTTATTGTCTTAGGATTTGGTACACTTCCTTTGAACTCTTTTGTATCATAGTGATATTTTGAGATATTAATCTATGTTTGGATGTTGTTATTCTTATCCTTTGTGCTTTGGAATGATTTATTCTTAATGTTTAGGATATGATTAGAAAATATATCTTGAACCCTAGATCACGGTAAGAATATTTGTTATGTTAATTGTCATGAATGGAATGAATGTATCAATTGCTTAACACCTTAAACCTAATGCTGGAAAATCTCTTAATTGTGTGAGAAATCAACATTTATTAGGTTTTTTTATGAATTTCATGTGTGAGGAATCAGATGATTTGAGTAGGTGGCATCAACATTGTTAGGTTAATTGATGTTCTTAATTAACATAGTCATTACAAAAGAGGAAGAAGGAAGAAAGTTAATCCTAAGTGCCTTTAATTAATATTTTCTCAATAATTTACAGTTCTTTGTCATTTAATTTCAATTCAACTTTTTATGCAAAACTCAATTTGTTTTAATTCACTTAGTATGCATATATTTAAGAATTTCCATTGAAATCGTTCCTCGTGAGATCGACTTTTATTTAATCGAAATACTATACTGCTATTGATAATTTTGGTACGCTTGCAAAAAATTCAACAAGTATTTTTGGCGTTGTTGCATGCACCTTATTTTGGAACTTCTATGACCCTAATTTCATTCTTACAAAATGACTATCTATGTAAAACTTCCTTTCTCCACCTTCTCTCTAACTTTTTCACTCCTTACATCATCTATTTTTAGATTTAAGCACGCCTTCATAATCCTTGAGTAGATGAGAACATTTCTAATCAATCAAAATTTCTAGTAAAAGAAGTTTATCTTTACCCATTTTTATAACATTCACATGTAAATTTTTGAATGGCTTGCATGTGGGCCCCAACGTGCATCCATGTGAATTTTATTAGAAAAAGGTGAATCTTGACTAGTTTAAATGTTTGATTTGTTAAATAGAGTTTTCCGTGAGTAAGATCTGACTTCTTACTAGTTTTGGAGCTTTTAAAGTTTTTGGAATTAGAGCTAGTGAAATTGAGGTAAGAAAAACTAGTAAATCTTTAACTTTTATAGTATTCTTGACTAGAAGATATGAAATGTAATAGTGACTTGGTCACATTGTCTGTATTACATGAAGTTGATTGGTGATATTGAATTAGGAATTGTGATTGTATGTGTTGAATTAAATTAATGATGTGCGAAAGGATGTATATGGGATGTTAGTTTATAATAACCATATTTGGACTAGGTATAATATACTATATAAAGAAATTTTAAGATAAAGTCTCGAAGGATTGTATTTGGTGTATGAAAGCTAATTTAAGGTGTGTTTTACATGTCTATATATGCATATTTTTGCTCAAGCAAAATTCATAGTAGAGCAATTGCTCCTCTCAAGAGTATTTTGGCTGAAGCAAGAATGTTTTGCTCAAGCGAATAATTTCTAGTGAATTGAAACTTATTTTTGGTGTATTTTCACATAAGCGAAATTGGTGTTCACTCAAGTGAAATTTGTCAAAGAAGGTTTTTTTTTTCCTGGAGGATATTTGTTTGAGTGAAAAATTTTCAAAAGTTTAAATGTATTTTTTGTCTAAGCTTCTAAAAATTATAAAAAGGTATTAGCCAAATTAAACATTTTATATATGCAAATAAGAAAATCAATGAAATAAGAATTAACCAAAAAAAGATATATACAAAGAAATTGTCAAAAGAGTAGATAAAAGTCAAATAAGAAAAATATTTTTTTTATAATGTGAGAAATGATATATATATATATATATATATATATATATATAATGAATATATAATGAGGTGTGTTAAGTGATATTGTATGCATATAAAAATATTTTGTTGTAAGAAATATCATGGAATATTCTTGTATATATATATTATGTCTCTAATGTATTGATGGAGTTACCATAGTGGTTTTTAAGGAGAAAATATTAGGTTGAGACATAAATTATGTATTGAATTTGAGATTTGAAAGGATATATTATAACTCTACAAAAATTGGACTTACATAAAGAAAAATATTAGGGGGTGAGAGTTGAAAAAAAAAAAAGTTTTTAGACTTCTTAGCTTGCAGTATGAAAAATAATCATGTCTAATAAATCATGAGAATTTATCTTATCATATAAAAGAATAAACGTGTATCAATTATATATCTATATTAAAGATAATCTCATTAAAAGATAATGTAACAAGTGTATATTTCTGAGTTCAATTCAATGTACGTCAATTTTCCATAACTAGAATAAAGTAAACGCTATTTTGAATATCAATGCATAATGCCGAAAGATGTAATTTTTAGACTAAGAAATTCGATATTTGATTGATTGAATACCTACTATACTTGATTTATTTATCCATGATGTTGACATTAAAAATATGTTATATATATGAATTTAAAATTTTAG